CTCTCTCTCTCTCTCTCTCTCTCTCTCTCGTTCCCCTCCGCGCGGCTGGCAGTGTCGCGGTGACCTGCGTGGCCAGGCGTTGCTACCTGGCTCACGACTTTTCTTGCACGCGGCGCGCACGGCGATGGCACGGTTGCGTGCGGCGATGTCACAGTAGCGGGGCGCTATGCCGCAGTAGCGGAGCGCTAACCCGACGGCGCTGGCGGACCCATATCTACCTGATGTTGTTCTATTTGTGCATGCGAGCAATTCTCTGCAAGGGCTCCATTCTATTTGTGCGGAGCAGCATGAACTATGACTGTTGTCTGCAGACGCTGCATTGTTTTGGAGTGCAGTTGAAATGATTTTCAAATGTAGGCTACCAGATTGGGCTGGGACCACTTGCCCGGTCAGGCCCAAAAAAGAAGAAAGGAAAAAAAAAGTTTTTGGTAAACTATTTTGATGTGACCCTGAGGTATTGAACAGTATGGTAGTGACACGTGAGCAAGAAACTCAAACACATCACAATCCAGTACTTGGACAAGCAAAGTCGTCGAGTAGACAAACAACATTGCCAAGTACAGATGTATTACAGATCAACCACAACAAATCAACAACAACTGCAACATGCCGGTGGGTATGGCTACCCCGACCGGTTTCGACTGCCGCCACGCAGTCGTCTCCAGGGGGCTCTTTCCACCATAGACTTCTCCCTCGACTCACTCCCTCATTCCGCACTCCCCCGCAGTCGCGTTCACTCCGACCATTTCCGTAAATGACGGAGCGTCTGCGACGTAGGACCCGGAAAAGACCGACAAACTAACAACTATTGTTGATATAGGAATTCCTATCTACTGACCGCTACGGCAAAAACGGTCCGGAACAGTACCCCCAAGGGGCAGAGGTCCCGGGTACCAGCAAACGACTGGTCCGGTGGCCTACCTGCGGGCCCTGTTCCTATCTACCATGCAATACCAATCCAAACAAGCTATTCCCGCGATCTGCACGTACTACAACAGGTATATCGACCCGCCTCACACCACACCATGTAATAGCCCTATCCCTACATCGTACTGTTAGAACAACAAATGCGTTCTTCGCACTCATACGAAAGAAAAGCAGGCTGTGTGGGAACAGATCCCGTCACTACTCATACCCCTGCAGACCACAATATACATTTCAAACCCAAACCCAGTCTACCCCAATTTACACACTGCATTCTCCTTGCAGTACAGTACAATAGCTCCGTTCAAAAAACAGAAAAACAGAAAACAATCAACACTGCGTTAGAGCACGGCAAACCACACCACACCACACTACCCCTAGCGCTCCAACGCAACCTGGTTCTAAGCAAAACCACAACCACCTCCAACTTACACGCTACATACTCATCGCAGTACGCCACTGTGACACCATCCCCGTCCCGTTGCACTTCTACCGTTACTCCATCGTTCCCCCTCCCGGTACTGTTGTCCTTCGAAGCAGCTCAACTTACCGTCCTGCAAAACGCTCATGGACTGTACACTCCACCACTTCACGCGGGTTATGCAGCTAACCATGTGGCAATGTGGCCCCAAATTGCTTCTCTCCCCGTTGCAAAACTCTTCAGTACGCGCAGGAAGAACTTCTGAGGAAAATCCATCATCCTCAGTTCCCGAGACAGCGTCAGCACTTTCTCGGGTAACTCGCTCCACGCCGTCGTGTTCCTCTTGATCCGGTGCAGTCGACTTGCGATGACTGCACTTTTCTGTCGTTTACTGCCCCATGAGTAGTATCCTTGCCCAATCTTGAAATCCAACCTGTCTTCTGTCCACACTGTCTTTTTCATTCTTTGACAGCTGCACGCACGCAAGGAACGACATCACGTCCTATTGCCGCATCTCCACCCCAAGGAAGTCCCAGTTCTTTTCGCCATTATCTGTGCGCTTCAAAGTCAAGTTGCTCGGGTAGCAGTTCTCGAATTCTGCCCGAACCATGTCACCTCTCCCTGCGTCCCGCTTCCTTGATGCAATGATGATACTTACATCGTCGATAAGCCGGATACCAAACACACTAGACCGATGACTTCTTTGCTCGCTGAGGAACTTGAACTCCGCGTGTGCGCACATAATGCACGCCAGTGGTGGGCTGGTGCTTTTCCCCATCAGAATGCCGACCACATGTCTCAAGAGGACTCCTGTAGCTGTAATGTATGTGTATCGGAGATCAAATTCAACAAACCGCCTCAGATCCTCCCGAACTATCTTTCGCCAATGATCTGCGCGTGTGGTACGTCCAAACGAGCTCCCTCGTCCGCTCGTGTTCACTCGTACTGACTTCTTTCCGCTCCTTCGGTAGTGATCGACAATCCAATCAACTGCCTCCAGAATATCCGTATGAGGCAGTTTACTGAACATATCCTTGATGTCATAGGACATCGCGGATGTCTGCAGGTCACGTTTGGGTAGCCGTTGGATCTTCTTATTAATCTGCTCTATCCTGGGTACCAGGTCCGACACTGATTTCAGGTTAAAGTGCCACTTCGCTGGTAGTGAGTAGAGTAGATGATTCAGAGCCTTCACTGCTGCTCTCGATGTCCTTACCGTCGGCTCACCGTAGGATGGGCAGATAGGACGATATCTGTCCAGGTCCTTGTGCTTCGGTTGCACGTAAGCACATCCAAATGTTCCCTTCTTGTCTATCTTCACGAACTGCTTCAACTCAGACGTTGTCACATCACTACTCATCCTTTCGACAATCGTTGCTTCATCTATCTCCATGATCTTGTAACCGGTGTTGCATACAAACGTGGTAAGCATCGCTTCATGGTACAGCAATGGGCAGAGCACCAGTGTCTCGCCCGGGTTCCTGTCCAGCGGGGTACATACCAAGCCGGTCAATTTGCTCTTCAGCTCGTTGACCGTCCCCATATCCAGATACTTCTCCCTGTTCCCTACTGTTTCTATCATGCACTGGCTGACATTCTCGACGGTCACCTCCCTCCCCGTCGCCCCTCGATTTGGTCAGTTGTTGAAGGCGTCCTCAATTTCATGTCTCAATAGCGTCACTCGATCCGGATGTGATGTCTCTGGAATGTTCTTCGCATTACACAACATCGGGTGTACGTCCTCCATCTCATGCAGTCTGAATCACACATGGTCTCCCATCCTAGGATAGGGTAATCCTACGCAAGTGCAGGTGTAGACGTCAGCACGCGCGTACGTCCGCTGATTGTGTAACAAGTTGGCAACCATTGGATTGCTTGTCCAAACGATTCTCACCTTGCTACGTGCTCGCTTCATCATGCATGATGGAAGTCCAAGTTCCCCAATCTTATCGTTCACTACCTTCCGAACCTCCACCAACTTCACGCGGTCGTCAAATTTCAGTTTGACGTTGATGTTCGCTCCCATGATCCACCCCGACACTTCTTTTTCACTCGTCCGATTAACCTTCGTAAATATGATCGTGTTGCCTTCTTCTGAAATTCCTTGGCTGATCGATACAGTCGGAACAACTCTTCAATTCCCCTATGCTTTAACTCCCCTACCCTCCTTGGATCACGTAATGTTTTAATCAGATCTTGTTTGTGTATCTTACCCCGACTATGCCATCGTCGCATATACCGTACTGTCACACTTCCGCTCGACTCCAACTTCTGCTTGCATTTCGCCAAGGTCAGTGCCTCTCCCTCGCATGTGACGGTTGTCGACCCGAACGCCTTCCTGATTCTCTTTCAACCGTCTAACCAGCAGTTGCCTCCAGTGGATACCATCTTGAAATTACGCACACCTCGTCTCTCCAGGTCAGCGAGTGTGCTAAATATGTCCAGCTTCTCCTCGCTGAGTCCTTCGCACCCTATACCAACGGGTTTAATACTGCCGCCTTTCTGCGCGTCAACTCCATCCGTCCTTATCCTTTCTCTCTCGCGTTTTCCCTTCCGCTTCATGTTGCGTCTCTTTCTCCTCCGACGAACCCCGTTAGTGTTCAATGCTGGATTCCAACAGAGTACGTACAATTGTTCGAAGGCGAGAAGTTTCTCCTCGGAGCAGATTTCCACCGGCAACAACACATACGATTCCCACCCGAAGTCGCGCCACCAATGATATAGGTGTGTATCCTTGCTCCTTCGGTCACATCGTGAAGTATGTTCGCGCCATCGCAGATTAACATGCCGACTCGTTTGTCCTACGTATTGTCCCTTGCAATAAGGCGAGGCTAGCGTGTACACCATGTTCGTTGCCTCGATAAAGCCAATCCCCACCTCAGCATACATACGTACCCATGAGTCAATACATTTCGACAACCATCAGATCTCTCCAACCAGTGTGAGCAGTATAATCACAATTATGTAAAGCTTCTCCGCATGCGCCTCAAATTTCCGCTCGCGACGGTAGCCAATCACCCAGTTACATAAGCTCCACAAATGGTAAGTGTCTTCAAGGGTTCATACTTCCGCCCCTTCGTCTTCGGGCTCCTCGACATCTTCCTGCTCAATCCCCTCGTTCTCGTTATCACTGCTCCGGGTTTCCTCCTCTTCACTCCCGTATGCTACGAGTGCTCGCTTTTTGGCAATGTTCATGGCTGCAATGGTTTTCTTCTCGTATTCCACATCCTCCTTCCTACATATGTCCTTGAGTTCATCTGCTCCCAGATCCGCTAAAGCACAGATGTTTTCGCAGATGAATTGTGCCCTTTCCGCCGATCCCATCGCAGCTGCAACCTTCATACGTGGAGTTCCTCGTCGTGGGGTAAAACGTGGCGGAGTCTTCGTCCCCTTCGTCTTATGTGTTGTACGCCGTAACTTCGCCACAAGTCGCACAGGCCTCACTCTAGTCGTCCTTGGTGTTCTCTTTGCTGGTTGCGTCATTGGTGGACTACTCCCCACCGCTTTCTCCTCACTTCGTTTTTGCTTCTTCGTTTTCGTCAACTTCCGAGTGCGTCGGTTAGTTGGCTTCGCGTCGCTCGTGTCGTCACTGCTTGCGGATGGCGAGTTCAATGGAGGTGGCGAGGCTGCTTTCTTCTTCCCTTTTCGATCGATCGTCGATGCCGCCAATGCCTTTAACATGTCGTTCGTCAGTTGTCCGCACAAGCCACCCAATATCCTCATGCAGCTCGCTCACAACAAGTGCTGCTTCCATCCTCATTTCCTTCCTCATCTGCATCTTCAGTTCCTCAGCCTCTCTCAGCTTTGCATTCTTTCGCGCCAACTTCCTCTCTTGCTCTTCCCGCCCTGCAACGGCGCGGTGCTGTTTTTCTAACTTCTCCTGCTTGCGTTTCTCCTTCTCGATCTTCTTCTGCTTCTCCTGTTCGATATGCCCATGCATGGCTGCAAGCAACGCTCCCAGTTCCTCGATCTGTTTCTTCAGTTGCAATCGTTCTGGGGAGGTTTCACACGATCCGGCCCGATGCCCTCCCCCGCTTTCGCCAAATCGTGAGCTCCCTTCGCCAGATAGTTTCCAGCACTGATTACGATAGTGCCCCACCTGTCCACACTCAAAGCATGTGGGCGGCGCCCGTCGCCGATATTCGCCCGAAGTCTCACCACGCTCCCGTGACATATCGCGTCGTTCATCTTGGTAGTAGTCTCGTCCGCCGCTACAATGCCCATCCCTCCTGTCTTCGCGCCGTCCATCCAGGCGGTAGTCCCGCCGTTCCCGATCGTTGTCGCGATATGCTATGTCGTCACTTCTACTTGGTACTTCGCCTTGGGAGCATCGTTACACTTGTATGGTCTTCTGTCGACAGTCCGTCTGACTGGTACTTGCTCGTAGTTGCTAACCGTGGTCAGCACATGGTGGTAAACATGCTCACTCAAGCTCGGGCCAACGTATCCAAGCAGGTTCACATGCGCCGTCAGAGGTATTGAAAAGTATGGTAGTGACACGTGAGCAAGAAACTCAAACACGTCACAATCCAGTACTTGGACAAGCAAATCGTCGAGTAGACAAACAACGTTGCCAAGTACAGATGTATTACAGATCAACCACAACAAATCAACAACAACTGCAACATGCCGGTGGGTAGTTTACTTTTCTGCATAACATAGTTTTTTGAACTTTTTTTGGATTTTTGTCAAATTTTTTATCATTTTTCCATTTTTTTGGGAATTATTTGAGTGTTTTTTTTTTTTTTTTTTTTTTGGCAGGGACCTTCCTGACCCTACCAAGGTGACCTGAGCAGCCCGGTTGGTAGACGAGATTCAAATCACAAACTGTCTGATCGAGTTCATACATTTTGCATGATCAGGCAATCCACGATGTTCCTTTTTTTGGGGTCTTAATACCGTCTTATATAATCTACTTGTTGCGCATCACGTGCTCGCCCAGCGTGCACGTGTGGCACAAAGCGCACGTGGTGCGCCGCACCCCCTAAAATAGGGGTGGAACCTAGGCTACCAGAGTGGCCCGGGTCCACTTGCCCGGCCGGGCCAAAAAGAAAAAAAAATAAAATTAAAAAAATTAAAATTAGAAAAATTAAAATTTTGTTTTAAATGTGGTAAAGAATTTCGATGTGAAGCTGAGGCAAAAGTTGTTCAGTTTATTTTTCGTTTTTTTTTTTTTTTTTNTTTTTTTTTTTTTTTTTTTTTTTTTTTTTTGGGCTGGGACATTCCCTAGTCCTTGCATGGCCGGGCCGCCCGGGAAAATAGGGTGACCCGGGCGGCCCGGCTGGTAGCCTAGGGTGGAACCGTGGAAGCAATTTTGTGGGACTTTTCCCCCTACAAAGTTCTCACCTGTGAACATACTTCGCACTGAGAAATCTAGTGTTGCTGTTCTCATTTTCCGGCTTCACAAACCTGCAGGCCTGAGAATAGCATTTCAAGTTTGATATTCCTTTTGTCAATTATTTTTTTCTTCGGTAAAACTTGCAACTGTATAGGAGGCCGGAAATGTCCTCCACAAATAACATGGAGTTACTGTACTGGGGTCAGTACCCAGCTTGGGTTTACACTGGAAAGCGAGCCCAGCATCCCTTCCTACATCTTAAAACTTTCCGACAGTTAAACCACCAGTACTTGGCCCTGCTATTGCTGCCGGGCTAGACAACCCCCAGCACGCCAAGTTTTGCCAAACCGCCGGTGCGCCGTTTCGTTTTTTTTCCGCTGGTGCTTCCAGCCATTGTGGCCCGATACCCCAAAGCCTGCAGGTCGCGGCACGCAAGTACATGGCCCCAGCCTTGCAGCAGAACATCTTGTCGCCAGACTTGCCACAAGATTGTTTTTGCGGCTAGGGCCTACCGGACCACAAGGGCTGGCGCCGCCAGCCAAAAAAGAAAATAAGTGCCGCGCTGGCAGTTTGGAAAGTGCGCCGTAGGCGGTTCGGAAAAGGAGGCCCGGGTGTACCGGTGCTTTAAACCACCAGTACTTCCTAGAGTCGTGCCCGTTAACGCGCCACGATTTTAGGAAACATACGGGCTACTACAGGAGCGCCCAAATTCATCCGACTAGAAACGTTTCTACTCTTTTTTTTTCCGCGGACGATAGCTGGGCCGTGAAGCGCCTGCGGCCGGTGTATGGGCCAAGTGCTGGTGGTTCAACAAGGCTGATCTTGAGGAGGAAGCGGAAAGACTCTAACTCAAAGAAAAAAGAAACGCCTTGCAAGTTCCAACAAGCATCAAGGCTCATCATGACAGAGAAACGAAACAAAAACCTACCGCCCTTGTCTCTGCGCCCGCACGAGTATAAGAAAGTTTAACACTGCAATCACACAACAACTATCAACAGAGCTAAGGTACCATCATTGCAATTGCTACTGTCTTCACCTGAAAAAAAGCCCGATCATTATAGCTGTATTTGGATGCAGCTACAATGACCGGGTGTTTTGTTCGGGCGAAGACGATAGCTGGCTCTTCCTCGCCCAGGTCTCAAGTAATCACCGTAGGCCCTTTTAGCCCTTACTCTTCAGCTGCAGCCAGTCCGCTCTTGTCGCAAACCTGATTTGATTCTCGTCTTGATCTTCCTTTCAAGATGGATCTGAAACACCACTTCCCCCCTGACGACGATAGCTGGTTCTTCCTCGCCCAGGTCTCAAGTAATCACTGTAGGCCCTTTTACCCCTTTTACTCTTCAGCTGCAGCCAGTCTGCTCTTGTCGCAAACCTAATTTGATTCTCGTCTTGATCTTCCTTTGCAGTTGGATCTGATCGACCACTCCCCCCCTGAAGACGCTCAGCCTGTTGTTTCTTGCACCCCAGATAGTTTCCATAATGATCCCGTGATACTTGTGCTACATGGCTTCGGTGTCGTCTGGCACGAAGCCTGTCATTGTCCATCTGTCATCCCTGTCCATCTCTCTGTGCCACTTGGTATTTATTTTCCAATTCTCCTTCCACCATTCCAAGTTCTTATTGGACAATGGGCAATAAAGCCGTAGGTGGGCTAAGTAAGGATTCTCACCCCCCTACTCACACTCAGGCAGAGTGACTGTATCGGCATCCCCTTAGACTGAAGCCATAGTATGTCATTGATTGTCGTGACCAACATAGATGGGAACCATATCAGACTCACATGTTGCTGAGAAGGGATCAGCTTTAGCTGACGCCAGAGGTTTAATAGTCTGAAACTCCTGTCTTGGAGGTATGTGGCATATTCCTGCAGGACATCTGCTAACAAAAAGAAAACAAAAGAAAGGGCATACTAAGATCTGAACTTGATTGCCTTCAGATTCATCAAGGGCTGGCCACAGCTGTGGTCAGATACATTCTCGATTTTCAAAGTGTTTGCGGGAGAATGGGCTGCTTGTACCACCTCTGCAGTACCGTCAACGGATGTTTAATAACAAAAAAAAGTAAAAAAGAATGCCCTGAAATGGAAGGGGCTGACAGGGAGTCTATTGCTCCCCATCTCTCACTTGGAGTCACATCGGAAATAGCCAAACTTCTTTCGTATTAATGAAAAAAAAAGGACAAAAAGAACGGTCATACTAAGCTCTGAACGTGATTGCCTTCAGATTCATCCAGGCCTGGCCATAGGTGCGGTCAGATACATTCTCTAAAGTGCTACCGTCTTCACCCGGTTATAACGCCCGGTCATTATTATAGCTGTATTTGGCACAACTTTCAGCCCAGCTACGGCGATAATCACCGGGCGTTCTATTCGGGTGAAGACGGTACCGTGAGAATGCTCTGAAATGGAAGGGGCTGACAGAGGATCGATTGCTCTCTGCCTCTCACGGGGGTCCACATCAGAAAGAGCCGTGATCGTGGAAACACATGCATGGCATAAACCAGCAGGACATGTTGCAGTCCATTTGCCTCTTTTCCTCGGCCCCATTGTCGTCCTCCACTGTTGCAGTTCCGAGGCTTCCCCGAGCCCCAAATTTTTTGGAGCGACTCAATCGTGATTCTCAAGTTGGCTGGGGCCATGTACTGGTGGTTCAAGAAGCTTCTTAAACCACGAGTATCTTTCCAGGCGTTTTCTGGCATGGCCGTTTCTGCAAACGCATCCTTCGGGGCTCGGCCTACCAGACCAAAATGGCTGGCAACCGCTGGGCCGTCCACTGGCAGTGCTCCATGTCGACCGAAAGTGGTTTCCCCAAAGGCTGGGCTGTCCACTGGTGGTTAACATCAGAATTCACCGGGCGGGTAATAATCACATGTCCTACCGTCTTTCCCCGAACGCTACACACCATTCGTGTTAGATACACTGTCAGTCATAATGAGGGTGCGTTGATTCAGTTGAAGAAGGGAGTAGGTACTTGGCCTCAAACTTTATGTTCTTTTTCTTTTTCTTTCTTATTTTGTTCATCTGACAGTATATGGATTCGAACTTGGGGCTGTATTTTCAACAGCTCATGAGTGTACCAACTGAGCTAGGCCCGTTGGTGACGAGACCTCAAACTCAGTGAAAAATGTGCACTTTGATGCCTTTGCCTTAAACTGATTTATTTATTTTTTAAGAAAAGCCGTTGTGTAAGCCCTCCATCCTGACAGTGGTGAAAGAACCGTCAGGATCGAGGGCTTATTGGTCGGGCTGCTCCATCTATTGGTGGGGAGCGACACCTGCTGGGAACCGGGTCCAGCGTCCCATTGATACATCTTGCAACACAGAATTGACTATTGGTTGTTTCCTGGGGCTGTGGTCTCTGCTCTTCTGAGCCCGGGTCTCGGGGCACCGTTGTCCCGTGGAGCTGCTAGCGTCACCCATCCCATCTTGGAGCACCCCCTATCTGTTGGCCCAGCCCTGTTGAGCAGCCCGCCTGACAGTGTTCGTTGTTACTATTGCTGTCCCTTTAAACCCTATAAAGTTTAAATCCTATACCCTCTCAACATCCTTGTATACCACACTTATGTCCGGAAGAGCGGCCCTGTCTTTTCACTGCTAATTGCAGCGCAGCAGGCGTGGTGTGATTCCTCCAACCCCTGTAGCAGGAGGCACCTTGCCACCTTCGTTTCGGTGTTTGGAGTAGGCGTCGGTGGAGGCCCTTCGAGGCTGTTATGTTGGTTTTCGGCACGTCATCGAGCTGCTGGTGTCACGTGACCCGCCTGGCTGCAGGGAGAGCGGGATAGAGGTAGAGAACTGGGAGGGGCAGGGCAGGGGGGTGGGGGATCGGGTGGAAGCG